AGGGATCACAGGGCAGCAATATGGTACAGCAAATGCACAGAGTTCAGTGATAGCAATGGTGCAGCAGCACAAATGCAGGAAGAGTGCAGCGGAAGCATTGCAGCGCGGCACGGACCATTCTGCAGAAGCACAGGGGTGACAATATGACACAGAAAGGGGTTCCTGCACTACTCACACTGGATGCTCCCGTTGGTCCTGAGAGTTAGCGCAGTCCATGCATTGTAGCAGAGGCACAGGTGTAGCATTTCCTGGGTCAAAAATTAAGGCAAGAGGGAACCCTGTGCAGCCCAGCAGCAGTCTCGGGGACCACATGGGTTGCAAACAGCAAAAAAAAGGGGTTCAAAGAAAAAAAGGGGAGTCTCTGTGTCCAGAAAGCAGCTCACAGCTTTTAAGGAACTACAAGTCTCAGCATTCCCAGTCACAGCAAACAGAAGTGTAGAACTATATGTCTATCTACTTTACAGTCACCTTGACTCAGGGCTGGCCAAGATCCCAGGAACCCGGTCACCAATGCTCCTTAACAAATGGCAGCTGGCCCTAACTTTTGAGGGTTTTTTTTCTAGTTGTTGTCAATTGAGCTAAAAAAAAAAATCCTGCTGGCTTCTGGTTATTGATTTGTCTACCTCTGCCTTGACCTGTCCCTAAGATGGAGTGTCTAGCCATTGCATATAAGCAGGGGCGTCCCGAGGCCAGGTGTCACCCGGTATCTAGACCGGGTGACACCCTGCTGTGTCGTCATCGAGCATTCGCAGCCATCTGATTGATGCCTGCCCGTTTAAACGGTATCTGCATGGAGGCATATCCATATGTATATGAAGCCCTTAGTGATAAGCAGACCAGTCAACTGAAAAACTGCATGTGGTGGCAAAAGCACAGGTAGGAGACCATGCAGCACAAGTGGGGGGATCATGCAGCACAGGTGGGAGACCATGCAGCACAAGTGGGGGGATCATGCAGCACAGGTGCGGTGGGGGGGGCATGCAGAGGAATGTGTCTGAATGTGTTATGGTCTCTTATAATAGAGGTGTCTTTGGGAAGTGGGGGGGGGAGTACTCGTGTAGTTTAGTCCCTATTTAGCACAAAACATCACGTGACTGCTCTCCTACACATTACGGGGCTCAGTCGTCGGTATGACACGGATGCGGCAACATAACATTGATCATGGCATGAGAGTAGGTGGGGACCTGTATAGGAGCCGCCCACAGCCACGCCTCCTGCGGTCAGTCACGTTGCCCTCTCAGTCACGCCCCCGCCCTGTTTAGGGACAGCCGGTTGCTAGGAGACAGGAGGACGCTGAGGGGGCCGCGGCTGCAGCGAGAGGCTCTCTCGGCTGTTTCCCGTAAAGGACCGGAGAGGGTTCTCTGCGGGGAGCGAGGGATGGTGACGGTGTTCACATCAAAGGGCGGGCTTAGGAAGATAGGCGAGGCTACTACTAGACGGTGTGGGCGGGCTTAGGAAAAAGGAAGGCGGGGTATGAGGGAATAGAGGGCGGAGCTAGGCCTGGAATTTAAATGGCAGCAGACCACGTGTTCTTGAGTCTCTGCTCCTGAGAAATGGTGATTGGTGTCAGTGGATGGGCGAGGTGTGTTCTATGAGCGGGTCTGCACGGTGATGTGATAAGGGGGATGCTGAGGGTTGTGTCCTTAGACTGCCAGAGCTTGGGACAGAAGAGGACACACGGACCGGTCTAGAAGGCCAGGGGGGAGGTGGCAGCGGAACAAAGATCAGGTAAGTACATCTGAACACTGATTCCTTCCTTCACTAATACTAAATGTAAGAAATGTATTAAAAGTATCTTAAAGGGCAATTCCACTTTCTCACCCCCGCTGGCCATACCTTTAAGTGGTAGTGCCAGCCAGTGTACGGTCCATACACCGTACTGCAGCCCTTCACTGAGCATCCAACATAATGCAAATGGCAAGCACTCATTGGTCAGCACGGTCACCTGACCATGCTGACTAATAGGCGCGTCTCATTGGTCAGGTGACTGTACTGAACAATGAGTGCTCGTCCTTTTATGAGCGTTATGCTAGGTGCAAAGTATGGTGTACGGACTGTACGGCGGTGTTCTATCGAAAGTTCCAACTCGTCGAGATCTCCAACGACCTGACTTCCAGTTTAGTGAGAAGTAAGAGTTTTGGCCGAGAAGGCTGTACTGCGCTGTGCGCCACCCGCGGCATTTCCCTATGCACATACCACACAGCAATAAAGTATTATAATGAACTACTAGGGACACACTAATCCAGCACGTTATTCATGGGATTTGCCCCACTCAATATGGCCACAAGTGGTGGCCATATTGAGCCATTGAGGTCCATCCTCAGTGCAGTCCATAGCCGCTGCACCTGTCATACAGTGGTGAAGCAGCTGAGGATTTTTACTAGTGGGTCGGTGGCATCTGATTGGGAACATGAAGGCCTAGTTCCCCATCAGGATTGCTCCCCCGGTGAATGATAGCCAATAGACAGCCTGCTATTGGAATCTGCCTCACCCTGCTGTCAATCACTAACGAAGGGGACCTGATGGGGAACTCTAAGAGACTAGTTACCTATCAGGCTCCTCCCACTGTCCACATCATTGGTTATTATGCCAGGTTCACACCCGGGCGATTCGTGGCCGTGCGGGAATTGTGCACGATACAGCAAGGATTGCCGTGCAGTCACGGAGTCGCCCCCCACCGATGATCGCGCTGGCGGTGCCATTATTTGCTAAAGTCACGCCAGGCGGATCGCGCAGTATTCCACCTGTGCAACCGAACTAAGACAGCCGCGCATCGTGTGTCGCAAAAAAAAGTACCCTTTTTTTTTTGCGATTGCCGCTCGGACGTAACCCCATTGAAATCAATGGGGCCGCGCGGCAATCTCTGTGTGCAATTGTGCACAACCGTGTGATCCCGGGACTCGCGTCCCAGATCGCCCAGGTCTGCACCGGCCCTTAGGAAGCTGTCGGCTATGCCGGGTGCTCTGTGCAGAGGGCGACCGCAAAGCAGAAAAATCTTCCCTTACAGCGTGCCGTCCCCTGCACTCTACACCCGGCTTCCGGACACTGAGGAGAGGAAGAGATTCAAGCACTACAGCGCTCTAGTTGCATCACCCGCCCCTCCTCACTATCCTCCAATCAGAAAACTTCTTGTATTTCTTTAGAGTACAAGACATTCTGTATTCAGAACTAAGAAATGTATATCTGTAACTGGAAAACGCATATATACCAAAAAAATATACACCCGCTGGCCACTTTATTAGGTACACCTCGCTAGTACCGGGTTTGACCCTCTTTTGCCTTCAGAACTGGCTTCATTCTTCGTGGCATAGATTCAACAAGGTGCTGGGAACATTCCTCAGAGAGTTTGGTCCATGTTGACCTGACAACGTAATGCAATGGGTGCGGATTGGTCGGCTGCACATCTATGATGCGAATCTCCCGTTCCACCACATCCCAAAAGTTACTCTATTGGCTGGAGATCAGGTGACTGTGGAGGCCATTGGAGTACAGTGACCTCATTTTCCTGTTCAAGAAACCAGTCTGAGATGATTTTAGCTTTGTGACATGGCGCGTTATCCTTCCTGGAAGTAGCTGCCAGAAGATGGGACCACTGAGGTCATAAGGAGATGGACGAGGTCAGCAACAATACTCAGGTTGGCTGTGGCATTTAAAGAATACTCAGTTGATACTAAGGGGCCCAAAGTGTGCCAAGAAAATCCCCCCCCCCAAACCATTACACCACCACCAGCCTGAACCGCTGATACAAGGCAGGATGGATCCATGCTTTCGTGTTGTTTACGCCAAATTCTGACCAGACCATCCGAATGTCGCAGCTGAAATGGAGACTCATCAGACCAGGCAAACGTTTTTCCAATCTTCTATTGTCCAATTTTGGTGATCCTGTGCGAATTGTAGCCTCCGATTCCTGTTCTTAACTGACAGGAGTGGCCCCCGGCGTGGTCTTCTGCTGCTGTAGCCCATCTGATTCAAGGTTGGACATGTTGTGCGTTCAGAGACGGTATTCTGCAGACCTCGGATGTAACGAGGGGTTATTGAGTTACTGTTGCCTTTCTATCATCTCCAACCAGTCTGCCCATTGTCCTCTGACCTCAACAAGGCATTTTCGTCCACACAACTGCCGCTCATTGGATATTTTCTCTTTTTCGGACCATTCTCTGTAAACCCGAGAGATAGGTGTAGATGATAATCCCAGAAATACTCAGACCAGCCCGTCTGGCGCAAACAACCACGCCACGTTCAAAGTCCCTTAAATCCCCTTTCTTCCCCATTCTGATGCTCGGTTTGAACGTCAGGAGATTGTCTTGACCACGTCTACCTAAATGCATTGAGTTGCTGCCATGTGATTGGCTGATTAGATATGTTAATGAGCAGTGTACCTAATAAAGTGACCGGTGAGTGAACTGTTGGGTTTAGTTGCTGTTTAATTGAATGTTTTTAACGTCATACTTGTTCAACTTAAACAGAAATGTAAGTTGTGGTTAAAGGATATTTAAACCCTCATGTTTTTTTTGCTTATATCTACTGCCAGCAAGCAGTAGATGTATAGCAAAAAAATTGTTTTTAAAAGTTTACAAAAGGGTTAAATCTTACCTGCGTCTCC